GCCTACATTAAAAACACACAAAAGCCATCAATCGGGCCGTCTAATTCAACTCCCACGTGACCCCACATTATCGAGTGTGCAAACCCACTAAACATAATTTTGTGCTCGAAAACCTCCAAAAGTGGCAACATCTGCCTCCACTGTCACTGACCGTGCTAAGGACCACATTTCATCACCACAGAGCAGCAGCAGCAGAGACAGTAATATCCAATTGTATGTTACCTCTGTATCCTCTGAAAGTACCATTGCTAACTAGCTCTGCAGTGCTTACAAGAAAAACGAGCTTAGTATTCCCCAAAGAGAGTACTGACAGCTAGCAGGTAACCAAGACATAGCGAACAGGAATTTTAAAGCTTTAGGAGATTAACAAATAAACAGAAATTAAAATGGACTCAGAAGATGATCACGCCAGGCTTCTCAAACTTTACCTTCACACAGGAACAGCCACCTCGGCAGGCGGGCACGCCGGCTGGGAGTGCGCGGAGCGGATGGTAATGCCGACGCCACTAACTTCTAACACCCGCCCTTGAAAGAACTCCAAAGAGGAAGAGCGACAAATCACCACTTGGCCGTTATCGACATCCTTCGTAGTATTAAAAAACACTTACTGAATTTCCACCACCAAGCCTGGAATCCTTGGACTCTGTGGCTTGTGTTTTGTGAAGGACACAGTTACGGGGATAATCGATCGCTGAACCAATCCGACCCCTGAACTACAGGGAGAGTAAAGAAGGCAGAGAAACACCGCAGGGCCCGCCCCACACAAGGAGGCAAGCACAGCCCAACGCGACTGCGCGGAGCTGCACGCACCAGGCACAGCGGCTTTGCTGCTGAATGAGCCTTCAGCTGTCTACTTTCAAGATATTCCACGCCACCAGTTGTCTCAAACCACAGCCAGTAAAGGGACTGTCGAATTTGCGAGAACCTGTGATTTCAACTACAGGCTATTCTTCAAATCATCACGTTTGAGTGATGCTATCAATGGCGAAAACAATTTCATAGCTTCTCCTGTGGCTTTCACACACCTTGCAATAAACCGCACTGTGTTTAAAAGTCAAGGGAGTAAGATTTGACAGCAACAAATGAGTTTCATCAATGGAAGAACAAAGCTAATTTTCTCAAATGCAAATGATGACCATTTGACTATGAGATCTGTTTAAAAAAAAAAAAAGATTTCCCCAAAAAGATTCCTTAAGAGTTAAACATCTTTGGCAGGGCGCGGTGGCTCACACCTGTAATCCTAGCACTCTGGGAGGCTAAGGCGGGTGGATCATTTGAGCTCAGGAGCTCAAGACCAGCCTGAGCAAGGGTGAGACCCCGTATCTACTAAAAAAAAAAAAATAGAAAGAAATTAGCTGGACAACTAAAAATATATAGAAAAAATTAGCCGGGCATGGTAGCACATGCCTGTAGTCCCAGCTACTCGGGGGGCTGAGGCAGGAGGATCACTTGAGCCCAGGAGTTTGAGGTTGCTGTGAGCTAGGCTGACGCCACAGTACTCCAGCCTGGGCAATGGAGTGAGACTCTGTCTCAAAAAAAAAAAAAAAAAAGAGTTAAACATCTTTTACCTATAACACCATGTTGAGTAAATAAACTGTTTACAGATAGAACTGTGCTGAAAACCTTACAAAATCTGGAACATCCTAACATGTTCAGAAATTTTGTTATACCAAAGCGATAGCAAAATGCTTCCTGGATGACTTTAACATCATGGGATAGACAAGACTTCTGCTGTTACCTGGTCTCTCTCTGGTCACACCTCACATCTCAAGGCTGCTGTCCATCAAATGGCTCAGCCCACCCAATACCGTTAATGAAAAATATAAAACTCTTAAGTCCAAATTATCTACTTGAACGTCTCATTTAGGAACAAAAGAATCCACCTGTCCTGACAGCATAAATGAAAGCAGGCATTATGATACCAAAATTCTAGTTGTGAAACTGTATTTACAGCACTAGAGAAAAGATGTCAACTGCTTTCCAAAGTGTGGCATACCTACCTTACCCAAAAAAATGCAGAGCTGCATGCTAGGTCACTTCTAACACAACACATTCAAGTATTGCTTTCTAGTGCAACTGTCTTCAAATAATTACTGCTACGCTTCTTTTGAAAGCTCCTGTGAAATTTCATAAAATACCTTTGACTTATTTTCAGTCACTACACACAGGCTCCTCCGCCAGGACTCTGGCGCCACGAGCAACGCCCACAGGCCTTCCGGCTAAGCCAGCACTGGCGTCAGGACACCTCCCATCCTTCCAACAGGGTCCACACTGTTTATTTCCAAAACAGAACAGGATAGTTTGAATGCAATCCAAGTCTAGTTTAATATTCTTTAAGGCTGGAATTCTAGTTACCAATGGCGATCACAAAAGATATTACAGATTGAGAAACAAAAGAAATGCCTTTACTTTTGCTCACACCTAAATCATTCCATAACTTTATGAAGCATACTGTCCATAAGTGATCTTAATCAAACATATCCTAAAAAATTAGAACATACTTTTGAGAATGCAAAAGTATGTAACTATTTCTTCCCTCCCCCATAGAAATGTTACCGTAATAAAATGTTCAATAAACTGCTAAATCATTACTTATAACGTGAACATCTCCATATACTCTCCCAATATACTGAAGAAAGTGTCTACACATAACTGGAGTGTGGCACCCCCCAATGAATAGAATGAAACGCTAGTAAGTGACACTAGAAGCCCAGGCACAAAATCATACACAGACACAAGAAGGCTGTAGATCCCACTCAAGAAAGAATGCACCAACACATTCGCATTTATTTTCTTTTTTTTTTTTTTTAAAGCAAATGACAAAGACCCAGTTTACCAGCTTTACTTTTTAAACCTAAGCTTAACATTACATATTTAAACAATTGTCAAAACTTACTAAGTTGCCAGCGTTCATGCACAACTAGAAAACATCCTTAATTTACAGTAAACCAGAAATGTATTACCATTAATGCATTAATATCTTTCACTACTAAATACTGAAAAAAATTGAAATTATTTCTGTAGAAGATTCGTCCTGGCAAGGTTAACTTCACAGCAGGCTGACGCTACTCGGCTCACGTTTCAGACACAATGGAAAAGCAGGTCCATGCTGGTGTTAGTGTACAATCTCGCTCTACCACTACTGAAGAGTCAAGGCTCACCTCGAGTACGTTTAATAAAAAAAGCAAAGTGCATACAGAGATTTACAACAATTTTAAAGACAAAAAATGGTCCTATTATGTGGTCCCAACAATAAACTCAAAAGTCTATGACAAACACGGCTCCGATGGGCGGTTTATAAATACTTAGGTACAGTGATACTCAAAGTCGAGTTCGTTTGAAATCTTCAAAAAAAAGTTCCTGTTAATCCTCAAATGGTGCTTGTTATAGTTAACATTTCTGTTAAGCGCGTGCGTTGAATTACTTGTTATCCAAGCGCAGCAGCTGCTCCTTACCATTTATTGTTAAGGACTTTAGCTGGCCGTCTTCTTCAATTTCTACTCTTTCTTGACCGTTCTCGACAATTCTGCGGGAGAAAGTAAATTTTAAAACTTTTTAAAGTAAGTATGTGTGTGAATGTATATGAATACTATTAAAGAACATTACTGCAATAAACACAGGAAAATACATAATTTTCAGGCTGAAAAACACAGCAGAAGCCAACTTGTTCACAATAATCTCTTTTCTGAAACAGATTTATTCTGACAAAAGTAAGATTTGTATCAAACACCGTAAACCTAAATGCTAAATACGTGCAAGATACCATTAGTCAGAAACAGTAAAGGTCGCACTAGCAATGGTTTCCCTCGACCACTCTAACAACGCTGGGAAATGTGTCACGCAGCGTCACATTATTGTACTGTCATTATTATGGCGCTCATGATTACTGGTAATAAATTAACATTAAATACACATTAAAAGGGAAAGCTCTAATTAATTTAGAGATAAAAGATTTTCATGGTGCCAGGCTGACCGTGCAACCTAGACTTCATGCTCTGGGGCATGTGCAACATGAGCATGGCACCAATGAAACACGATGCCCACTTACCAAAAATATAAAATACATACTACCACTGTACCTCTTTGTGGTGATCTTTCTGCCATTGACTATCTTGGTGGAAGTCGACACGGATTTGAAGTTGCCCATCCCACCACCACCACCAAATGACGTGGAAGAGAATGAAGTAAGGCCCCCATGACCTAGTGACCCAAATGAAGTAAATCCTGCAGGAAAACAGAAAACAAAGCTGATTAGAGACAAATATGTCAAGTATTAATTTAATGCACAAATCGCTGAGTTTCAAAACGTAGAAGACCATGTGATGCTAAGACGTGGATACGACGAGTAACAAACCACGAGAGCACGGCCTAAGCTAAGGTGCCCACCGGAAAGGCAGGCAGACTCTGGAGTCTCTAACCGTGTGTTCCCGAGGAACACGGAGCACAAGCAGCTACGTCTCTCTGTCACATTTCCTCCCCCTCTCCTCAGGCGGCGCTCTGCCGGACCCAGCTGGCGCTTCCAACAGGCCAAAGATCCTCCCTACTTGTGGGTGGTCCGCTCAGCACCACCCATCACAGAGGGGGCAGGTGGCAACGTGCGCCACCACAGAAATGGAACCTTCTCCTTGTAATGGGAACACAGGGGACAGGAATCTAAACTACTAAAAAGCTATATCAATTTTACAATAAACACTACAAGTAGCTACCTGAAAATTATGGTTCCACGGTTCATAGACACCATTTTCAATTACATGGCTATCACACTAAATCAAACCTATCTGTGATATCAAGGCAGATTTGCTTGTTAGAGCTTAATACTTGTCTGATTTGCAAAATGTTCACATTAAAACAAATAACACATACTGCTGAACATGATTCAATCACCTAAGCTCTACTGCTCTCCAGGTCTTGTGGTGTCCAAAAGAAATACAGTGGGCCATATATCTAAATTTACATTTTCTCGTAGCCTCACTAAAAAATAAAAACGGTGAAATTAATTTTAATAATATATTTAGTGTATCCAAAATGGCAGCATTTCTATTTGTAGTATCAAAAATTGTTGGAGATATCTGACATTGCTTTTCATGTTAGGTCTTTGAATTCCAGGGCATAGCCCACACTTGCGACATCCCAGTCTGGCCCAGCCACATCTCAGGTGCTTAGTGGCTACCGCACGGGACAGCACAGGCCTAGAGCGAACCTGGGGCCGCACGATCCTTTGCAAGGCTCCTTAAGAGCAGGGAAAGCTTCAGCACACCCCCCACACGCTGGCCACTCACGTCTTAAATGAGGGGCTGTTTTCTTGGTATTTTTAATCAGCTTTCTCTTATTCTCTCTTAACCTGTGTTTAGCCCATCACATGGCAGTGCATGAGGACCTGCTTGGGAAAGCGGGCCAAGGTGAAGTCCAGCCAAGTGGACCACTCACCTAAGCATTATCGGCACATTATTAAAGGGAAATAAAATTCTGAGCCGTATTATGTAGAAGGCAAAGTGTATAATAAGCTCTAATTCTTCCCATGGAGGCTTAAAAATAAAACTAAGAGAATCAGAACCAACAGCAGCTCCTTGTTAAGAGGAACAGGATGAGCTTTAAAGAGAAGCATCGGCAGACAAGGTTCTGTTTCTTCAGGTAACATCCACAGCTACGTGACAAGTGCATGTTACTCTAGCCAAGGCCGGGCCCTTCTCTAGGGAGTCGGCCTGGCATGGACCAGTGTCAAAGCCCAACCTTCTGATCCCAGCTGGACACTCCTAGGATAGATACCACCTCGTTAGTGCACTTTTGTTTTAACTGCAAAGGGGGTTAGATAACACGAAGGATTTGCTGAGATTATCCAAGTGGGTAACTCTGCACTTACCCAGAATACACACTGCCCCTTTTATAACTAAGAATTTCATTAAATGTTGGCCTGTAATAGTAAGATTTGAAGTAGGTTTTCAAGTACAACATTCTTGGGAAGATTAGGGGAAAATGTAGGTTATTAAGCACAGATTTGTACACCTAAAAAACACTGGCAAATCTACAAAGTTATTCTACAAAAAGGAATACACATGCTTTAAACTACTCTTAACTAATAAAGAGTATTCTGATTATAAGCACTAATTTCTGTTCAGAAAACAGATTATATCTAGGGATTTCATACCTGTATCAAACGAAGAAAATCCACCTCCAAAAGACGGAAATCCAGCGAAGGTAGAGAAAAATGACCCTGTTCCTCGGTTTCTGCTTCCTCGGGGACCCCTCCGATTCCCGAAAAAGTCCTCAAACGGGTCTTCTAAAAGCAAACACAAACGCATGCCGTCAATTCTCTTCTCCTGGGAGAGCTGAGGTAAGAGGAGACGGGTTGGTGCCTCACAGACACGTTCCATCAGGAGCAGAGCACAAGAAGTGACAACGAAGTAGCACACGCAGAGAGTACCCACAACACCACCTCCCCAAGCAGCTTTATTTTCTGGTTTAACACATTATAAAATAACCAAGCTGTTAATAAGAAACGGTGTATATGTACGTATAAAACTCGGGATCGAGAACGCACTCTTCTTCAAACTAAGACAGCCGCCTTAATACAGTCTTTTATTTAACATCCCGTTAACGCTGATCCTGCTGCCAGCATTTGAGGGGTTAAGGTAGTTTCACACTTATATCCACGTGTTATATCCACGTCTGAGCTGCCTTCTCCAAATTCAGACATAAATGAACATACATGAACACGCACATATGTGAACACACAGAAAACGGTACAGCCAAGTGAGCAGAACAAACGGCTGGTGAGCCTGGGCCGAGAACATCTGGAAATTCCTTTGCTTTTCATAAGCTTGATGTGGAAAGAGTATCTGGACTGGTTGAAGTCAAATTGGAATAAACGTTAACTGGCAGACGCAACACCGTGCTTTTGAGAGATCTGAGCAGAATGACTGACGCGAGTAGGCAGCGCACGGCTGCTGGAAACAGAGAAGCTTCTGGAAAGGAGACCAGAAGCCAGTTTTGTTTCTCTTTGCTGCTGTCTTCAATCTACCAGTACTTACCTGAAAACACGAGTTATATGAAGTATCTTTTTAACTTACATGGGTCATCTGTCATTAACACGTACTCTATCTTTTGAAGGGAATGGGAGATCTGTGAGGAAGAGGAGAGTCCTCGTGGCTGTGCTAGGACACGGATGCGGGGGGGGGGGGGCAGCGGGCCTGGACACACACACACACACACACACACACACACACACACACACATGGCACAGACTGCTGCGGTCGGGCTGCTGCCAGGCCAGGGGGCGGGAGAGTGGCCACAGACGCAGCTGGTACACACGAGTCATCCAGAAACGAGGGACAGACACCACACAGCAGGCAACAGCAGTGAGCACTGGATCCAAGCACCAACCAGACGCAGGAAACGACAAGTGTAAACAAGAACGCCTGGGGCAGCACCTGAAGCCCACGCTGACCGTGCTCTGAAAGAACCTGCACACAGGTGAGCAGCTAAGCCCCTGAGCAGACCCGCTGTCCCGGAACCTGCAAACAATAAGGAAGGAGCAGCAAAGGCCGCGGAAGCTCTGCTGGGGCAGGGAGGAAAAGGAGAAGAGGCGAGTACTGGACGCCCGTTAAAGAGAGCTCATCTGAGAGCAAACGGGCCAGGGAGCTTTAACTAAAGGGCAGTCCAGGAAAATGGGGCCTAAGAAATAACACTTAGAGAACTGATCACTGGCACTTACTCAGCCGGCAGAGAGGAGGACAGGGAAGGCGGCGTGCACAGTCCCCCAGGGCAGAGTCCCAGCCCGGTGGCCCAGGCCCAGTCGCAGGTGCTAACGGGGCATTGGCACGGCCAGGGAGCAAGTTAGCCCGAGTATTTGTGCTGACTTTGCAACTTGTTTCCTACATTCCATAACAAAACACTCTCCTTTTAAAAATAGTTCGTTTATATTTTTTAAAAAGGTAATTATAAGCTACTTTAGAAAGAGACCTCACTGCCCCCGCCAGTACGCTGAAAGGTAAGTAAGGACAGAAGAAAGAAGTTACATCACATCTAAAAGCCGTAACATTTTGTGAATTTCTCCAGAGGCTACAAAGATTCATCCAATTCAAATAAAACCGAAGCATGCTATTTAGTAAGTAGCTTTCTAATTTATTGCCATGGTCTTCACACCAACTGTGCCAGGGAAGTTCTCCACCTAGCTTATCTACAAAATGGCAGATAAATAACTCTTACATAAACATTACAAACAGCGTTTACACTTACTGTGCCCTTCCTAATTCTCTCACTCTGCCGTGGTGGGCCGGGTGGAGAGCGCCTGCAGTCCCAGCTGCACGAGGACTGCTCACGCCCAGCAGTTCAAGGCCACAGCGAGCTACCATGACACCTCTCAACAGCCACTGCACCCCAGCCTGCGCACTTACTATTGGAAAACACTTTAAAAGGGCCGGGCACCGTGGCCTACGGGTTTACTTCTAAACCAGCTTTTGAAGTAGCTTCTGAATAAGGAGATTTTATAATTGTAAGTATCACTGTCTTAATTTAGCTTGGAATGAAAACATTAAAATCACGTGCTTAACAGTGGTATCCCTCAGGCTCGGGTTCAAGGTGCACCTGAAAGCTGAAGGCCTGCCTTGTGGACTACTTACAAGGGTTTAGTTGTCGTGTGTGAGTTTAAAGAAATTGTAACTAACGTTTACATCACTGATAAAAGACCAATTGCAGAAAGATTCAAAAATTGAATTAGTCAATGTAGATGAAGTTTTAGAAAGTGCAAAATAACTTGGTTTAGCGATTCTCAGGTGTGGGATGAAGGGGCCATGAAAGTGCTTTATTTTTTATTTTTATATTTTTGCATTTTCTTGCGAGTCTCACTCTGTTGCGTAGGCTGGAGCGTCCTGGCGTCAGCCTAGCTCACAGCAACCTCAAACTCCTGGGCTCAATTGATCCTCCTGCCTCAGCCTCCTGAGTAGCTGGGACTACAGGTGCGCACCACCACGCCTGGCTAATTTTTCTATTTTTAGTAGAAACAGGGTCTTGCTCTTGCTCAGGCTGGTCTCGAACTCCTGACCTCAAGTGATCCTCCCAACTTGACTTCCCAGAGTGCTAGGATTACACGTGTGAGCCACCATGCCTGGCCGGGGGTAAAAAAAATCTTTTAATCTTGATTGATATACTGTATCCTAAATATGATTTTCTACAATTCAAGTATTTGCTGAATTTTAATTTAATTTTAATTTCAAATTAAGAGTCACAAAAGTTACCCTGAAAATGAACTCTAATTTATAAGTCATAGTGACAGTGCTAAGAAACAAA